CCCCCCCCCTACGAAGGCCCCTCCCCCCCGGCCAGCCCCGCCCCGCCCCCTTCAGCCCCCCGGCAGCCCTCCTCGCAGGGTGACGCCAGGGAGCCCCCAAGCTCTGCGCTAGCATCGTGGAGAGCAGAGCCGAGGGCGGCCTGGGAAGCTGCTGGGGCTCCAGCGCTGCGGGGTGGAAGTGCCTCGGTTACAGGCGGTGAGCGCTCCTCCCGGGGAGCCGGGCACCTGCCGCTACTGAGTCTGGCGGCCGGGCGGGGCGTGGGTCTCCTCAGCGCCATCTACTGGACAGAGCCCTCAGTCTGATAGACAGCGCGGTCAACCAATTAAGAGCGGCCTCCCGCGTTCGTAGCCAGTGGCAGGGAACGGTTGTGAGGCCGCCGCCCCCAGAACGCGCACCTCGGTTGGGTGGTTGAGCGGGCTGGGCTCGGCCCCAGCTGCGTGCGGCGGGGCAGCGAAAGGCTGGCTGGGAAATAAGGGTGAAAACTTCCCCAGGCACCTTTGAAGTCTCCAGGTGGACGCGCCACGGCTCAGCCCGTCCTCTGGGATACGCACATCCGCGGCAGGCTCTTCCCGGGCGCCCCTTCATCCCCGCCGTTGAGTTCGTTTCCCCACAGTCCTGTCTGGGAGGAGAATGCGGGGGCGGGGGCTCTCCACAGGCAGGGATAGCCTCGCTACCTCGGGGGCTAGGATAGGGGACCCGGCCTTCGGGCTCAGGGCGTCTCCCTGCCCCAGCCCTGCTGGGCTCCGCTCCCTCCTATGGAAGTAGCTACAGGGCAGTGGTTACAGCCCCTCGCCTTTGGCGCAGGTATAGTGTTTCCCTAGGAACTGCTGTAGCGATGAACGCCGGCGGGTAACTGGCTAGAAAACTTGGGAAGCTAGAATCAGTCTGAGCAGAACTGGGCCTCACAGCTTCATTACACCTGAACTACTGTACAGTATCGTAGTGCTAGCTTCCTCACACTGCGTTATAAAACAAATTCCCAGTGCATTGGGCTAAGCCTCAGACACTCTGAGCCCATTTTTCTGGTGCCTCTAAGAAGTTATCCGGTGATGTAATATTTACTAGAGGTTGCTATTGTTAAGACTGTGGAACTAGCTGGCGTATGGAAAAGCATTCATAATTTGTTTATTCCTGGTAACACTGAGAGACCGACACTTCGTTAATTCAGAAAAGATTTTTCTTCATAAGTAGCAGTAGGTCAGCAGAAGTGAAATAGAATTGGATACCCTTATTTTGCTCTGTCTGGCAGAAGCAGTAGTAGCGTATGCCCAGAACAAGTGGGGGTGGGGGCTCCCGATAACTCTTATTCCCCCCTCCCCCACAGAGTGATCATAATTTCAGATATAGCTGTACCTTACCTCCCCCACCAATTTACAGATTGATTCCATTCCCTTGCCAGCGCAAATATGGGCAGATCACATTACCTAGTCTCTCTCCTCAGGCACACCACCATGCCTCAGTTTCCTCCCCAATCCTATATCTGGGCTACTCACACACTGCATGGCTAAAGTTCCAAAACAGGATGTCCCTTTCTGGGGTCTGTTTAGTAATGTCCTGGTTCTATTCGAGTAGTTGAACAGGAAGCTCCCTGTCATCCACCTTGTCCTTAAAGGCTTCACCTCCCTTTAATTAGGTTTTCTTTGTAGTCCTTCTTCCCTCATATCAGGGACCACCACAGTTTTCCTCACCCTTGGCTGTAGGGGTTCACTCCAGCCCTTCCACCACTTTCTATGTATAGTCTTTTCACCTCTCCTAGCTGCAGACATCTGGCATAGTTCCAAGTGGTCTCTGACCAACTTGCTGGCCATAACTTTAATCATGCTCCTTTCCCAAATCCTTACCAGGGGAGGATAAACAGCTACAGCTGTTGCTTCACTGGCAGATCTGAGACAATTCTCTTGTTCCAGGTCTTTTTCAGACTTACCCATAAGACATACCTCTCCTCCTATCAGGCCTTGTTCTCAGCTTCATCATCTGATTAGTCACACAACTTGTCTGAAGACCAACGCTGCCACAATCCTGATGTCTTAAAGGGGCTGAGGCCATGCCTGCCTTAAAAGGCCACCATGCTCAGTGCACCAGCCCAACCCCTTGTCATTTTAGAACTTCCCATTCCCCATCAACTTCCACTCCTTCCAGTTCAATCCCCACCAGCTTAGCAATACCACTCCTTACATGTGCATACATCCAGTTATTTTATATTAATGAAGGATTTGTGAAGAAAGCAAAACAGTTTGGTTCTGACCTCACTATGGACCTCTTTCTGCAACTTTTATTAACTTGGAATAGTAATAGCTTAGGCCCACTTAATCCTGTTTTAACTGGGACTTATATAGTGCACACACCTTGTGCTAGCCCTTTGCACAGGGATCAGTTACACTACTGACTTAAAAAGGGACTACGTGCACAAGTATATACTTTTCAGCACGAGTAAAAGTTGCCAAAGTGGGTTACTTCCCCACAAACCCTGTGCTTTGGGAGTAAGCTGTTGAAAAACTTGAGATGGCAAGAACTCGTGTAAATAAAACTCCCTTCCTCCCATGTTGTACCACTCCTGATTTTCATAATTTGTTCATTCATTGACTAGGCCAGTCCTAGTGTTGGAAGCTTCAAACAGCTTTGAAGATGGGATGGATAGGCCTTATACGGACTGGTTTCCTTTAAAAAAAAATAAAAATCTTGAGGAAAATTATAGGGTAGGGCCAGTGGCAGATTAATGATTTTGCCGCCCCTAGACCCTGAAATAATTGCCGCCCCCGGCAGCTTGCCCCATATGAACTTGTTTTAGTTTTTTAGTTTTAGTGTATATAGCGCGATTTCGGTTATAGCGCGGGACCGCGTATGGATCCAAAACGCCGCGTTCAAGCGGGGGTCTGGTGTATATCAAATATTTATTTTTTATTTTATGTAGATCCAGTGAAAGAAATAAAAGTATTTGAGAAGTAAGTAATTACATTTGTTTATGCCTACACCTTTGAGCGGCAAACTTATTAATTAATTCTGTATAATCCAGAGAAGTTGTTAGATCCTTTTCAATTGTTAGGGGAGAAAGGGAGTTTAATTTTTCTTCACTCAGATTAGCCCTCAAATAGTTTTTCACCCTTTTTAATGCCGAAAATGATCGTTCCGCTGAACAGGTTGTAGCAGGTGTGCAAACCAACATTCGGAAGGCAATATCAAGATTTGGATATACTGAATGAATGTTTCGATTTCAAGAAGGCTGCAATATCTTATAATTGACTTCTTTTCATTTTCAGGAATTTCGACACCTTCCAAATACGATCGAAAATGAAAGTGAAAACTCATTCACGAATGATTCATCTAAATCTCCTTGGTAGCATAGCTGTAATTTTTTTAGCATGAACTGTTATATCTGCTATTGAAGTATTGGTAATGTTAGAGAGAAACTGAAATCTGCCATACATTTCTTGATACGCATTACTTCAGCGTTTCAGTTTGGAACATACAAGGTCTAGTATTGTTAAAAAGATATCTACTTTAAATTATCTCTACCGCACATTTCCACTTCAACTTCGCGTGTCTCCTCAGCTTGCAGTTTATGCTTTCTTTTTCGCTTTGTGTCGAATTCATAGTCTTCAATTTCAGATTTTTCTTTGGCTTTCTCTTCGTACATATCAAACAAGTCCCGTGTAGAGTTAATGTATCCTATTAGTGAGTTGTAGAGTTCTACAACTGTCTGTATATCAATATAAACATTTTGCAGTTTTTGGCTAGTTATATGAAATCTTTCCAAGAGTGAGCTCCAAAATACAGCCATAAAAGCTGCTTCAAGTCGATCGAGTTTTTGTTGCAGGCCTGCAACTTCATTACGTGTAACAGGTTTCTCAGTAGCATCTTCCTTTATTGTATTTAAGGCTTTAATTATAGCATTCCAGTTTTCACTCAAATTATGACAAGCTTCCACTTGAGATGACCAGCGAGTCTCAGAAAGTCTTTTTATTACATTACTGCCTGACTTCAAATTAGATAATAAAATCTCCCACCGGTGAGTAGAGGCAGAAAAAAATGAATAAAGATGTTGGACAGTTGAGAAAAATGAACATGCTTCTTGGCAGCTTTCTGCTGCACATACTCCCACCAGATTTAAAGAATGCCCAGTGCAAGGCACATACACAGCATAAGGATTTATATTTTTAATTCTTGCTTTGAATCTGCTATATACACCAAACATGTTAGTGGCATTGTCGTACGACTGTCCACAGCAGTTTGCGATATCTAATCCATAACAATTCAAAGTTGAAAGTACAGTATCAGCTAGCTGTTCTGTGGCCAGTATTTGGTAAAAAACAAAAAAACCTCTCTACTGGTATGCCATCATCATTTACATATCTCAGTATAAAAGCCAAGTGATCAACATGAGATATGTCGGGAGTTGAGTCAACGCTTATCGAGAAATATTTGGCTTCTTTTACTTCTTTAATAATATTTGAGATCACATTTGAAGCCATCAATTTTATAAATTCATTACATGTATAGGATGAAAGATAAAATACGTTACCTCGAGCTTCATTTCCATAACGTGCAATGTGACTTGCTAAAAATGGGTCGAATTCTGCGACAAGCTCAAGGGCCATCATGTAATTGCCATTATAAGGTGATCCAAATTTTTCCACCTTACCTCTAAATGCAAGTCCTCTGCTTGAAAGTTTCTTTACCATTGCTACAATCCTCTTCAATACATTTCTCCAATACATAATGTCTTCTTCCATTTGAAATTTTAAATTCAAATAAATTCTTCCGGATATCTCGCCTCTCCTCACCATTGTCAGTACACACGTTTTATGTTCAGTCGAATTTTCATGTTCACGTAGTCGAGCTGATATGTTTTTCCAGTCATGGTATCCACTCGTCACCAGACTAGAGATCCCTCCGAATAATCGACATGGGGCACAAAACACGGCTCCTTTGCTCTCCGAATATACAAGATATTGCCATGGCTTTACTTCACTGTTTAAAAGATGTCGTTCAAACACATTTTTTGTTAGAACACGCATTTTATCAGTATATTGTCTTTTTGAGTTAGTAAAATGACTATTGATATTTTGTTTAATACCATGCGTTGATAAATACTCAATTGTAGCATCATTCAATATCCATTGGGCTGGGTTGTCACTTATATTCCAATGTCAGATTGAATTTCTGAATGATGTGATTCGCAAATCTCTGCAGTATTGTCAGAGATATCCAGATCAACATGATTCCCGGTAGTCTCTGATACGCTAGTATTTGGAACATTTTCTTCAACACTAACCGCAGCCGGAATTTCTTCATTAGTTTTAATATGTACTTTATACACATCAATATTTTCAATATCAACACCAATATTTTCACTTTTTACTTCACTACTTCTTTCAACTTTTTTTTCTGTCTCACTGTCGGCACTAACTGATACAACAAAGGAATCAATTTTGCGCATTTTTGCTATCATTTCATTTTCCCTCTTTCTTCTGTATAGCATTTTTTTTTTAACTGAGAACCACTTAATTTCTTCCTTCCGGTCATATTGTTAATTAACGCTTAGGAGTGTTGCGACTCCAGTCCCGAGTATGTTGTTTACTAAATGGCATCACCGTCGCGCCGTCATTGGTGGTTTCAATATGCGCTATCATGATTGGTAGAATTGCGGCACGCGATGCCGCGATTACAAAAATGCTGGACTGCTATTTTAAATTTGCCACCCCTGCAAATTTGTCGCCCTAGGCCTAGGCCTTGTTGGCCTAGGCGATAATACGCTGCTGGGTAGGGCTTCTTGCCCTGATCATCAGTCCAGGAAGAGCCCCTTCTCCCTATATATTATTTTTTTTTCTTGGGAGAGGTAGGTGGTCTGGGTTTGACAAACATGAGAAGATGCAGTTAAGGCTAAAATGTAAATTTTACACTGCTCATTGCGCTTAAGACGTGCAGTATACTAAGAGTTATACTCCCTTGTGGAACTTCAATATATGGCAAATGGAGCTGCTACCCATACCAATTGAAGGAAGATATAGTAGTAACACTTTGAATTCCTAGGCACAGGAGGATGACTTAGGGCGAGAGTTGCAGCATGAGATTTTAATTTTCTTCAACTACTATGTTTAAACCAGATGCTTACTGCCAAATTTTCAAATGGGGGGGGGCTAACCCTTTGGGTACATATTGCACCTATTTGCCCAAACTGCGTGCAGAAAGGCAAGATTTGTTAGGTGGGGTGGGTTTGTACACCAATTTTGTGGGCACAGCTTAGGTACCTAACACTTGAAAACTTTGCCAATAGTACCATAAGTACATACGTATATAATTTGTATAACAATGCTACAAGTTAATTTACTAGTATGAACACTTATTTTATTAATTGACAACTGATACAGAAAAGAAAAAAGTCACAGAAGCAACAATAAGCAAGCAATGCACAGTGAGTTACTGCAAGGAGGTCTGCATTGGTAGAAAGACCACAGATATGCATAAACTATTTATCATTGTTGTGTGATCATTAAATCTACTTTGATTACTCCAACAAGAGCAGTAAGCAGAGTTTTAGTCTTCACATTAGAACATACTTTGCCACTTAAAATTTGACAACTGCTAAGGCTAAGAAGATTACACTGTATATAAAACAAATCCTATACTACAACTAATAGAACAACTGTAAAAAGCACGGTCATAATCAGCCTACTTGTAAAGAACTTCTGACATTACCTAAGAGTCCTTTTTGCTCAGCTAACCTATTACAAGAATGATAGTCACAAACCATGTCTACACTAGGAAAATGACTCATTCCTGACAATGGTTGTCTGCTATAGATCCCCTTGAACCAGCATTTAGAACAATTTTTACTGCTAGTGTAGATGGGACTAACTCCTTTTTAGTTCTGAAACTTGGTTCCACCAAGGCTCAGTGATCTGTCAGTGTCTAAATTACATTGCCATAGATTATTTCTTCTACGTCTCAAGAATATTTTTTGTAATGGTTTTGTCCTATATACCCTAACATTTTAAATGTTTCCAGTACTAGTTCAGCAGTCCCAAGCTGATAACAGCCGATGGTAACAAGTCCATTTAATGTAGGTATGACCAGAGAATTCAGAGACTGAAAAGACCCAACAAGTCATCTAGTCCAGTCCTCACCAGTGCAGATGTGTAGCCTACAACATATTTCCTAATGTCTCCATTAACTACACGACATTTTATTTTTATCATAGATGTTTATTAGCTTTGCCATTTGAAAACAGGTGAAGGAAATAAAAATAGAATATATTCAGTTCAAACAGTAAAACAAAATAAAGTAGACCTGTACGCTTATAAAATATACCTTCTGGATCAGATGCAAAACAGCTAGACAGACATAAAATATATCTATAGTTACTACCAACAATTATACTTAAAACATTCTTTTTAAAATATGAGTGGCTTTTCAGGCACACTTCTCCAACATAATGTACAATAGAACCTCAGAGTTACGAATTGACCAGTCAACCACATACCTCATTTGGAACCGGAAGTACACAATCAGGTAGCAGCAGAGACCAAAAAAAAAAAGCAAATACAGTACAGCGTTAAACGTAAACTACTAAAAAAAATAAAGGGAAAGCAGCATTTTTCTTCTGCATAGCAAAGTTTCAAAGCTGTACTAAATCAATGTTCAGCTGTAAACTTTTGAAAGAACAACCATAATGTTTTGTTCAGTTAGGAACATTTCAGAGTTACGAACAACCTCCATTCCCGAGGCATTTATAACTCTGAGGTTCTACTGTATATGCAAAATACTGATATAAGAGTAAGTTCTAAAGGCTGTAGTAAATGGTAAATATGGCACCTGTCTCTTTTGGCTGCATATGTGGTAACATAAGCTACATTTCTTATGATATATGCTTTCCATGTTCATTATCTTTCCCAAGTTAGCAATTAGAACTTTTACCTTTCAGTTCCTGAGCAGCATTCCAGTGACTGTGGGCAAAGTAATGATAGGAAAAAAGGCGGTATCAGCAACATCATGCTCCATAACCCCTCAGTGGCCAGTGTTGTAGGTGAGGCTTCTAGAGATGTTTGATACTGAGACTGTGCTTTGTTCCATGACTTTGTTAGGCTTATGGTTTGATTGCAATCTCAGGAACATTTCACACTGAAGAACAGTAGTTAACATACAAGCTTTGAGGAGTTTTATAACCAGGTCTAATACCCTTGCAAACAGCTCAGTGTAGCCCTTAAAAGTTTTCGCTAGGAATTGTTGAGAAAAATAGAACAGTCTCATAACATACAGGTCTGTTGCATCTTACGCACATTTAACATGCGCGATTTCAACTTTATGCAGTCGGACAAAAAAAAAAAAAAAAAAGAAGAAGAAAAACAACAAGTTTTAATACTATACCTGTAGTGCGGGCGATTTCACCCGCCATTGAACTCAATGGGGTTTTGGT